TGTACTTTCCTTTCTGCCTTACCAGCTTTTCTTTCTGCCAATTCTGTATCTCCAAGGTTGCAAGAAGAGAAAGATGCGCTTCAAGGTCAATTGCCTGCTCCTCCTGTGCTATCTTGTTAACCCTTCCCATCTGTTTACAATGCTGCCAAAGTCATGGTTAACAATGTGTATGAGTGTGGTTTATAAAAGGCATCCTTCATCAGTTGTGTGTGCCCCCAGTGTCCTGGGACTGCTCCTTGTTTCCTATAGTGTCAGTTCACACCACTTCATTGCGGTGGTGTGCTCTGAAAAAAGAACTGCATGCAGTACTTTCTTTTTCTGCCCGGCAGGTTGCGATGTAAAATTCTGCATCACAGTGATTCTGTCTAAATAGGACTGAATGAAATGTCACTGACATGTCAATGTCCTAACAAAAAAAACAAAAACATGTAAACAGTAAGTGCCTTACATCTACACAATTAAATATTGATGGTGTGATTTTGGGATATGGCCCAGGACACGGTATCCACGAGACAGAGGGCCAACATGCTGGCCTATCCTGGCAAAATGGGGACAGTTGGCATCTACAGTATATCACAGAAGTGAATACACCCCTCACATTTGTGTAATATTTTATTATATCTTTTGATGTGACAACACTGAAAAAATGACACTTTGCTACAATGTAAAGTAGTGAGAGTACAGCTTGTACTCACTTCTGTGAGATACTGTATACATGTAAAGTAAGTTTGTCTGTAAGCTGTAGAAGGTTTAATCTTTGTTCACACTGCTTGTATTATTAATAACCATTATGTGGACTGCATGGTTTCTTTTTCTTTAAAGCCACAAAGCTGCAGATGCCAGTGTGCAGGCAGGGGAAGGCGTTACAGATGTTATTGATATTTTGCTAACTCTGTAATGCCCTGCCTGAGATGTAATATCCTTATCATGCCGTTACCCATTTATTCCCTGGTCTGTTTCCTCATTTCAGAGGATATGGATGAGTGGTATTGACAGGACCAAAAAAGAAAGATTATGAATTCTGTTCTCAGATTCCATAACATTCACACAGCTAATAGCTATATTGATTAGATAACAGCTGAATGACAAGTATGAAGACAGAGAAAAGGGTAATTATTCTGGCTAGCTATTGTTTTGTCAGAATATATGGAAAATAAGTTATGCAGAAGTGATTCTGCACTTGTTTAGGTCTGTTTAAGAATATATTTGCAAAAAGCAGCGGTGTACAGTAACGCATGGAAGCAAATCATCTTATATTAGTTGGATCATTCTGAAAGCTGATTATTAATTGCTTAACATGGATTGCTGCACACTCTTTGTCTATACACTGAATTTTTGAATTGATTAAATCAGGGCTTTTTTTTTCTCAGAGAATAGGTGCAGGCACTCCCCCCACTCCTAGTAGAGAGCTTCTCTCCACAGAACAGAGCTTTCCTTCCACCCTCTTCCCCCCAGTACAGAGCTCTTCCTAAAAGCACATAACGTAGCCTTCATTCAGAGGACAAAGCCCCCCCCCACCTCCCAGTACAGAGCCCTCCCCACAATACAATGCCCCCCCCCCCCCGCCGGTATAGAGTGCTTCCTCCATTCACCTGTCATGGAGAAGTCCTTAGGAGGAACAGCAAGGCTGGTGGCTCAGCAGTGCTCCTGAGATATCTGAAGAAGTGTGCTGTCATTGTAAACACAGAAGCTGGTACAGGAAGTGAGTAGTGCAGAAAACATCCTCTACCAGCTTCTGTGTTTACAGTGACTTGTCAAAAAGGACAAGGCTGTCACAGGTGGTGAAACAGATTTCCACCATATTCTGACTGGACTGAAAAAAAAAGCCCTGGATTTCATAACATCATTTTAATGCTTTACACTGGTGCTTTTTAGAACTTTTCATCACAGGGCTGTGATGATAACAACAAACACCAAGTCTAAAGACAAAGAACACAGACACTCAGGCATGCTTTTATAGTTTATAGCTACCCAGACTGGGCTTCTGTTAAAATATTTTGAAGGTCAAGCGAAAACATGAGACACGTGAAAAAAGGAGAGAAATAGAACGCACACAGTAATATAGTCATCCTGCATGTGGTTGCATTGTCCGAAAATCTCAGAAAGATGTTTAGCAAACATTGCATCCCTGTATATTTTAAAGCCCAGCAACACACACAGAAGATTGTACATCCAAAAGATCTGACACCCAACCAAAGCAAAGTTACTTAGTATATGCAGGTCTGTGTAGTGAGAAATGCAAACATTCATTGTACATGGGGAAGACAAAACAAATGCCCAACAAATGGGGTGACAGCCTTCAACACCATCTGTTTCCTACATATACAGTATTGTCATTTTAACATCTCTATCCTGACAATTTGACAATTTACACTTTCAGCCTTTTACTTTAAAAAATGTACAACTGTCCCATACTAGCACCTTAGTGATTAGATGCAATTAGGATAGAGTGGTTTCATAAACTCACACCTTCTGTTGTTTTCTTCTTGGATAATCAGCACCTGACTTGACACATTCCATGGTGATTGGGTTTCATGACTAGGTTACCTGTGTGGTTTTAAACGCTTAGGTATGTTCCTGACAATTCTTGGAGCAGCAGAAGCTAGTTGGATGGTAGGGAAACATAATCAAAATTACAGAACAAGTCCAACTGAATGTGACTAATTACTACTAGGCACACTATATTCAGTTAACCACATGCCGCCCAGCCACTGTAGAAATACATTGGCAGGGCGGCATGGCTGGGCAAAACAAAGTTTTAAAACGTGTGTTTGCGAAACAGGTAGGGGGCGCGCGCGAGGCGCTCCACCGCCCTACCTGTCCCGCCAATCACGGTCGCGGACAGTCACCGGGTCACAGCCGGTCGTTACCGGCTGTGTCCCACTGATTAGCGCAATCACTGATAGAGAGCAGGGCTGCAGTAGCTCTACTTTCTGTCAGTTCCCTGTCAGCTCCTGACATGCTGAGCCAGAGAGAAGAGCTTATCTCTCCCGGTCAGCGTGTCCCCCTCCCATGTAATACAATCCCCGCCCCCTAGTAAAACACTCCCCTCACACAGTTAACCCTTTCAGTAAATAAAGTTAACCCCTTCCTCCCCAGTGCCATTAGTACAGTGTCAGTGTTTTTTTTTTCACTGATCACTGTATTGGTGTCGCTGGGGATGTCAGTGACCCAAGTCAGTTCCCCCCCCAGTGTCAGAATGTACGCCGCAGTCCCGCCATAAGTCGCTGATCGCCGCCATAAGTCACTGATCGCCGCCATAAGTCGCTGATCATCGCCATTATTAGTATAAAAAAATTAAAAATCCCAGTATCTTTACCGCCATTTGTAAACGCTATAACTTTCACGTAAACCAATTAATTTTCACGTATTGGGTTTTTTTTTTCAGCAAAGACATGTCGCAGAATGCATTTTGGCTGAAATTTATGACGAAATTTGATTTTTACATTTTTTTTTACTGGACATGTTTTATAGCAAAAAGTCCAAAATATTGTTTTTTCTCAAAATTGTCAGCTTTTTTTTTTATAGTGCAAAAAATAAAAAATGCACAGGCGATCAAATACCACCGAAAGAAAGCTCTATTTGTGTGAAAAAAGGACATAAATTTCATTTATGTACCGTATTGCATTACCGCACAACTGTCCGTTAAACTAGCGCAGCGCTGTATAGCAAAAAAAATGGCGTAAATTGCAGTATCTATACCATAGTTTGTAGACGCTATAACTTTCACACAAAGCAATCAATATACACTTATTGGGATTTTTTTTACCAAAAACATGTAGCAGAATACATTTTGGTCTAAATTTATAACTAACTTTGAGTTTACTATATATTTTTTATAGCTGAAAGTAAAAAATATTGTTTTTCTTCAAAATTTTTGGTCTTTTTTTGTTTATAGCGTGAAAAATAAAAAGCACACAGGTGATCAAATACCACCGAAAGAAAGCTCTGTTTGTGTGAAAAAAAGGACGTAAATTTTGTTTGGGTGCAGCATTGCATGACCGCGCAATTATCAGTTGAATTAGTGCAGCGTTGAGTAGCAAAAAGAGGACTGGTCATTAAGAGGGGTAAATCCTCAGGAGGGCAAGTGGCTATTTGGAGATCATGCAATGTTTTATAAAATAATACACTGGTGGGTACATATCTGGACATGCTCTTAGAAGCAAGAACTAGAGTCAACCAGTGAGCACTGGTTCTTTTGCAGCCTTCTTCACAGTTGCACCTAAACTTTTACTTCAAATGGACCCAGTAACTCTACTTTAACCACTTGCCTACCGGACACTTATACCCCCTTCTTTACCAGGCCAATTTTCAGCTTTCAGCGCTGTCGCACTTTCATTGTCAATTGTGTGCAGTCATGCAAGTTTGTACCCATATGAAATTTTTATAATTTGTTTCTCACAAATAGAGCTTTCTTTTGGTGGTATTGAATCGCCGCTGGGCACTTTACTTTTTGCGCTATAAACAAAAAAAGTGCAAAACATTTGAATAAGAAAATTTTTTTCTTTGTTTCCATTATAAAATTTTTCAAACAGGTAATTTTTCTCCTTCACTGATGTGCGTTGATGAGGCAGCACTGATGGGCACTGATAGGCAGCACTGAAGGGCACTGATAGGCAGCACTAATGAGGTGGCACGGATAGGTGGCACTGATAGGCAGCACTAATGAGGTGTCACGGATAGGCGGCACTGATAGGTGGCACTGATAGGCGGCACTGATGATGGGTACTGATAGACAGCACTGATAGGTGGCACTGACTGGCATCACTGCTGGGCACTGCCTGGCGGCACTGCTAGGCATTGACTGGCGCAACTAATGGGCACTGACTGGCACAACTGCTGGGCACTGACTGGTGGCACTGACTGGCAGCACTGCATTGATAGGCACTGGTGGGCACAGGTGGGTGGGCACAGGTGGGTGGCACTGCTGGGCACAGGTAGGTGGCACTTCTGGGCACAGGTAGGTGGCACTGCTGGGCACAGGTGGGTGCACTGCTGGGCACTGGTGGGTGGCACCGCTGGGCACTGGTGGGCGGCACTGCTGGGCAAAGGTGGGCGGAACTGGTGGGTGGCACTGCTGGGCACTGATCATCAGGGCACTGATCATCAGTGCCCTGATGATCGGTGCTGATCCCTGCTCTGACAACTGCCGGTTCTTGGCAGTACTTTCCTCGCGCTCTGACAGCGTGAGGAAAGTGCAGCCGAGAACCGGCAATTGCATTTCCCAGTGATCAGCGTGTCATTGGACATGACTGATCACGTGGTAAAAGGCCGCTGTGATTGGCCTTTTACACATCACGTGATCAGCTGTGTCCGTAGGACACATCACGTGACCGCATCACGTGATCAGCTGTGTCCGTAGGACACAGCGATCACAGAGATCGCCGGGGTGCGCGCCCGCGGGGGCACGCAGGAGAGCGCGTTCTGGGAGGACGTCATATGACGCCCTCCCAGAACTAGCCGGCCGCAGTGTAGCCATCATTCGGCTATCTGCGGTTGGCAAGAAGTTAAGAGAAAAAAATACATTGGGGTTGGCTTACTAAAACTGGTGAGTGCAAAATCTGGTGCAGCTCTGAAGAGAAACCAATCAGCTTTCAGTTTTTTTTTTTTCGTGAAAGCCTAATTGGACAAGCTGATTGGTTACAAAGCACAGCTGCACCAGATTTTGCACTCTTCAGTTTTTGGAAATCAACCCCAGTGTATTACTCTCTATACTCTTAAATAACTCCTCCTGGTTTCTAAAAGAGATGTCCTGCATTTATGTTGACATTCTGCTGTTCAGCAAGTATACTTTTCTACCTCACTAACAAGAATGTTGCATTAGTTTGGAAATTGTATGGCTTAAATTGCTCTCTAGTGACCTATGGTTTATGGAAATTCACAGTGTGGAAGGCAGTCACAATCCGATAGCTTTTAATTAGTCTTTGCTCTCTGATCTTATAGATATTTCTCTCTCCTGTCTTCTTCTGCTTAGGTTACCCCTAGTACAGTTCCTGGGTCTGGCTTATTCTGCACTTCTTCAGCTGGGTTGTCCTGCATTGCAGACTCTACTCACATGGCCAGATGCTTGCATTAGCTATCCCCCTTATGCCCTCAGGTGTTCTGTACATCTGCCAGGGTGTACGTACAGTTGACCATACACAGCTTTTTTTTTTTTTCGTTCAGCAAGCAGGCTAAAAAAAGTAATCCATCCAAACAAGTGAGTTGGATGAAGGAATGCCCCCCCACACAGGGACATTGTATTCTGACAGCAGCGCCCGCTGTTAGAATACGCTAATCAGAGGCTGCAGCCACTGCTTCCCAACTTGTTTGTTCGATAGAAGTCAATCAAGCAATTGTCTTTTGTCGAACAGGGATAACCAGGCACCAGGGGCGGACTGACAACTCATGGGGCCCCTTTGTCCTTGCCCACACTCAAAGCACATCCAAAAAAGCCTATAAAAAAGGTACTAGGGGCATTTCATGGGGCCCCCTACTGACCCCGGGCCCTCGGGCAGTGCCAGAGTACTCGAATGGTCAGTCCGCCCCTGCCAGGCACTGATTAAAATGTGTACGATCTCTGATGAACTGGCCAAATTTTAATCCTTCTAGTTTCAGCTTAAGTGTGCCTCACACCAATGTTTGGCCTAGCACTCTTGTTTAAAGTAACTTGCAGAACTCTCAAGTTGTCTGACTTAGACTATGTTAGTTCATGGGTGCTATTCTTACTGTTTCAAACTGACCTTAACTGCTGAGCTGTGTGTCCTGCCCTTGCTTGAAATCCAACTGCTCTGACTCCAGCTCTGCTACCAAATTACTTGTTAACTCTTAAGGTTGATTTTGATGCTCAGTTCTGGTTACAACTAGCAAAAACTATACTAAGGATGTGCCAGTTACCAAATTTTAACCATACTACTGTGGGTTTTAGTGAAGGTCAATTACTTCCAGAGATTTCCTATTTCCATGCTTCTGGTGACATCAGGCATTTCCACCATCCTTGCTAGTCTGCACAACTCATAAGGCTCATTTTGTGTTAAAATTAAAAGGTTTTGGTTCAGGATTTCTGTTCACAACTGTAATGTGGAAGAATAATCTTTCTCTATTGGCAGATAGGAGCAGGATAAAATAATTCATATGGGTGTAGGGGGTTCAGTAGACAATTTAGGGAAGACAGGTGGATGGCACTTGTGGTAATGTTTAATAGTATGGGTGTTACTTGGTATGGTACCTGGTATCGTATGAGTTTGTGATAATAGTAAACATCTGAGCAAGTTTTGGAAAACTGTTGAAAATGAACTAATCCAATCAAAAATAACCATTTTGTTTAGGTTTGGTGCAGGTTTTTTTCTCAAGCTGTATAGTGAGAATGATTACCCCTTGTAGTTACAAAGTATTTATCCAGTCACATAATGTAATAATAATACTAGTCTCATAATGTAATGCTGTCAGCTGATAGAACATTTGATGTGTTACCCTCTCAGCACTTTGTCTATGTGTGCCTGCTTTGTGTTAGGGTAACTCTTATTTCTGTCTGGTTATTTCTCCAAGTCAGAGTACATTGACAAATACCGCTGATTCAAGGAATTTACAGAACATTTCCAATGTCAACAGGCATTTAAATTATCCTAACTTTATACTGAATTTCCCAAATCCAATTAACAGCTAATAATAGTTGTCACTTTTACTTGAAGTCATTAATGGGAGGTCGCCGCAGATGTTGTAACAGCCAGATTAAATTGTTTCAGTCTTCAGTTGTGGCCTTCTTTTAAATCACTGGTCTCTTATCTCTGGCTAACAGGGGCTTTTATGTTTTTGCTGCAGTTTTCCCTTCTAAGTAGAATGGATGTCACCAAAATGAACTTAATCTCCTCTAGATTATTTTCCCAATATGATCTCTCATTTTAGACAGCCTGTACACTTAAGTCTCTTCAAGTTACATTTTTTGTGTGCAGGGAAATATTTGTGCTTTTTGCATCTGTTTTTCAGTGAAAAGGCATCATGCTATGTAGTGCTCTGCTTATTATTACAGTCATTTATATAGCACTGACAATTTATGCTGTGCTTTACATATTATTAATTTGCAATAGCCCCTGCTAACAATCTAAGGTCCCTATCTTATGTGCAGACATTCACGCATAGTACAGCCAATTTCAACAGGAGCCAGTTATCCTATCAGCGTGTTTTGAATGTGGGGAGGAAACTGGAGTACCCAGATGAAACCCACACAAGCACAGGAAAAACATGCAAGCTTAATGCAAATAGTGTTCTGGCCAGGATTTGAGCTATGGACTCCAATGCTGCAAGGCAGAAATACTAAACATGTAACTTAAAAAAGGTGAGCTCTCACTTTAATGTGCTATTAGTGCAATATCAACCAATAGTAACATAATCCAATCTCCATCCCTGACTATGACTGTTGGAACTGCATGGGTGGAGGTTACGTCTGTAACGTCTTCACACATGCTGGTGGAACTCATAGAGGTTCCATCTTTGTTGTTGTTCATTGAGATTCTCCTGTTTCTTATGTGAATGGAATACTTAAATACATTTTAAAATATTTATATTGTAAAGCGCTGAGCAAACTGTTGGCGCTATATAAATCCTGTATAATAATAATAATAATATTATAGCTTACTGCACTATGGATATTTCTTTGTTTTATCTTTGACATATGTCATCTGATTGGAGCCATAGTGAATCGAGCTGCCATAGGGAGTGTATAGTGGTGTTATAGCCAAGGGTGGTTGATCTCAGTTTACTGAGATCTTAAAATCTGGTAAGAAGTGTGTGTACACTGGTGGCATACACATGGAGAGCACATACTGTATTCTTCGTAATGATTCACAGTTTGCAAATTAACAGCATTGGGACTATATGCACTAAAGTTTATTTTTCCATGGGCTTTTAGTGGACTTTCTTTATGTTTATCTTTTAGGTTGATAAGGAGATTGTGTGTTTTCTCTTGCTATTCTTCTGCTGAATTATGCACTGATTTATATTATATTACTCTTGAGTGATATTGCATTGTCACTAGTAGTACCTTAAAATTGATAGCACACCGTTTTTAAGTAACATGATTTATTATCAAGTATTCAATTCAGATATTTTAGTGCACTGAGCACAGGAAGATTTTCTTTTTTGTCTATTTAAAAATAATAACCACTGTGCTGTTATAGCTATGTACTTTAAGATTAGAGAGAGTCCAATGTACATGGGATTCAGTTTGGAGTTTGTTTGGCAAATTTTACTGAAAGTCAGATACTGAATCTGAACCCCATTGAAATCAATTGAAGCTGAATCTTAGAAATCTGTAAGGCCTGTTTTCTAGGGTAAAAGGCAAGGGATTTCACCCACTTTGAGATGTCCTGGGGGACAAGTACCAGAGCAAAAGAAAAGTTTTAAAAGTTCCATTTGGAGGGGGAGCAGAAAATGTAATAATGCTTAATGTGAAACAATAAAAATGCATAATTCCTTTAAATAACATTCTTAGGGGATGCCCCGAACCTGCCTGTGCAGTTGCACATCTGTATAATACTGTATGTACAACCTAGTATGGCAAAAGTGATATTTACAAAGAAAAAAAAAGCCCTTTAAAGTTCCCAGCTCCTATCTTCTGTTTGTGAACAAATGACCAGGGATTTCCTCCCTCTTCATCTATTCTAGGCCCTTTTTCTAGTTGGAGGTGTGATATAGATGTTAATGTGGGATCCCATATGTAATAAGAAAAGGCTACACAGGGCTTCCCCTAAAAGTAAGTCCAATAAGGGTCTGGTATGGTTGTCAAGGGTGGGGGGGTGGCACACAAACGGAGATCCCTAATTTGCATTGTATATTTACATAAATGTTCCATGGAATTGAATTCATCTAAATGTTTACATGTGGTAAACCTACTGTGTGTTGTGGAAAGAAGGGTTAATGTTATATCTTGTTTTGGGATTGTTTAGATATGGTGTGAGATGGCTATTGAATGATCCACTTGACTCACAATTGTTTCAGCTGATAGTACATGTGTATGTAATGACCAGATGCCTGTGTCACTGGAAAAACAATGGCAATCTTATATGAACATTTGTCTTAGATACTCTATTTCCCCTCCAAGGTCTCATAGCCAGTAGGTTCTCCTAAATATATGGTTAATATGGTTATTTCCCGGTCAATCCATTATCAGATGTATAGATTAATAATAATCCCATGGCTATGGGTAGTCTTAGCCACAAATGTGAAAGTACAGGAGTGCAAATACATATTTCAAATACATTCACCTCTTTTACTCACTTTCAAGATGTTTTTTTGACATTGCTTTTCTGTTTTTACATTTTATGCATTTTT